GAAGTAGTTTGTCCTAAAAAACTACACATTTTACACAAAAGGGAGATTGAGAACAACCAGACGGAGAAGAATGGCGAAGAGGTAAGCGACATGAATGACTGTGGTGGATTTTAGAGCCATCTGAAGAGACAACAAAGAGCTTTTTCCCTAACAGACATGACATTGCTTTTAACATCTGTTAATAGTAGTTTCACCTTGGAGCCCACGTGTACAGTTCTGCTTTGTAGACGAGATTTCTCAAAGGAAAGAAGATGTGATCTCTCAGGATGGTATTACAGTTAAGCAACAGGGAACTATCTGTCTCACTTCATAAGGAAAGATAAAGCTGCTTTGAAATTTCTTCAAATTTGGGGGGTTGGGGAAGAAGGAGCACAGAAAGGGGAGCTGTTTCTAGAAGGGGATGTTCCCTGCCAGGCTCACTTAGCTCATGTCTTCCCCTCATCTCCCACTCCCTTTGCTCCAGTGAATTGCCTTTTCCTCAGCCATTTGGTCTATAATGGAGAATTCAACTTCATCTCAGCAGTTAACAAGATTTTAAAAATTTATTAAGAATATTAACTCTTTGATTATTCCATTGTTATGAATATTTCCCTCATTTTGTAATTTTACCTTATTTAATTCTTAGTAGGTTGTTGGTTGGCTTTCTTTAGTGGATTTGGTTTGGTTTTAAAGTAAGAAAAATATAAATCTTATAATATTATCCCTTTGGTGATCCATTGTGGTACACAGGGCAGTATACTGTACACTAAGGCAAATGATAAGTCCTTATCTCACATATTAGAGTTAGTTTAATCTGTAAGTATTATCACCATGTAGTTGTACTTTTTGGAAGTCCTTCTTAATGTACAATTTGCTTTATTTCACGTATCTTAAAAACATAAGAGAACTGCTTTTATCCTATATGCATTTATGATTATTCTTCCAGTATATACTACACATAGTATTATTTTATAACTGTTTTACATAGGTTCAGAAATACAGACTGTTTGAGGTAATTATACCATTAAATATTTTCAGGAAAGATATGAACCTGAAGTTCAGTATCAGATTATATTAAATGGAGAAGAAGTCATTCTTCACCTACAAAAAACCAAGTAAGTCATACCTCCTGAAAATCTAACCACTGGGTTATATTAAAAGAATGTGGAAAAAGTTTTTTCTTGAGGCTCTTTTCAGTGTGGTTTGAGATAGAAGTGATGAAGCATATTGAGCTCTAGTTTGTTTGTGCTAGTGTTACCTAAGAAGGTTGATGCTTTCCTTGGAAATTATATGCAAAGTGTAAAACAAAAAGAGCTACACATATAAATGACTTTCTTCCTTGACCTTCTGGGAACTTACTGGACATCTTTTCTACCCAGGTAAACTCAAACCTTTGATGCAGCTTTCCATGACTTTATTTTTCTTTTTCTTCATTTTTTTAAATTTTAGAATATTACAGGGGTACAAATGTTTTGGTTACATGGATTGCTTTTGTACTGCTTGAATCAAAGTTGTAAGTGTGCCCATCACCCAGATAGTTGTACACTGTACCCATTAGGTATGATTTCACACATTCCCTCCTCTCCCCACCCACCTGCATGATTTCCATTGAGTTTTACTTCCATCTGCGCACATGAGTGATGACTGGTTAGCTCCAATTGAATAGTGAGTACATGTGGTGTTTGTTTTTCCATTCTTGCAATATTTCACTTAGGAGAATGGTCTCCAATTCCATCCAGATTGTTGCAAATGTATTAATTCATTTTTTTATGGCTGAGTAGTGCTCCATGGTGTATATATACCACATTTTATTAAACCACTCCTGAACCGATAGGCACTTGGGTGGATTACACATCTTTGCGATTGTGAATTGTGCTACAATAAACATTCTAGT